TCTGGTACAAAACCATTTCATCTGGTACGAAAAATTATAAAATTTTTATATTCATCAGGACAAAAATGGATCTCATAATTTTGTACTCTGGAAGGCATGTATGAATAGTGATCATACAGTATAATCAATACTTAGAAAAAATATTATTTGAGCAAATAAGGACCTTCCATTTCATACTCTGGAAGGCATGTACGAATTGGGTTCATACAGTATGATCCATACTTAGAAAAAATATTTTTTTGAGCGAACAGGGACCCGTCCATTTCATACTCTAGAAGGCATATATGAACTAGGTTCGTATAGTTCGATTCATACTTATTAAAATTATTTTTTAGCTAAAGGGGACCCATCCATTTTGTACTATGGAAGGCATATAGAAATAGGTTAATACAATACAATCCATACTTAGAAAAATTTTCATTTATGTTCATTTGACTACATGTTGATAAAATAACTGAACAAATCTTCTCGTATGAAGTTCATTCATACAGTATGATTAGTTTAAAAATTGTGAATTTTAAACTCTCCCCCGGTGTGTGCTCAGTTACTCAATTACAATCACACTCTCTCATACTCAAGATTTTTGTAAAATATAGACTTCAATTACAATAAACTTTAAACTGATCTTGATTTAAAGTTTTCAGCAATCCGGAGTATGATTTCCATGAAATTTTTGTACACACAAGAGCAATATAATTCTACCAAAATATGTTAGGAGAAAAAATAATCAAAGTAATTTTATTTGGAATCATCAAAAGCATACAAGTTGCAAGAATATGAATAAACAAGAATTAAATAGCAACTAACTCAACAAATGTGTCATACTTTAAAACTGTGAGAGTGAGTTATGGAGCATAGGTTGCGGCTTGATACTAATATTTCTCAAAATTAATTTGGATTCATGCCGGGTAGGTCTACGCTTATACATTTATTAAGAGGTTTGATGGAGAAATATAGAGAGAATAAGGAGGATCTACATATAATATTTATTGATTTAGAGAAAGCATATGATAAAGTTCCAAGAGAAGTGCCATGGAGAGTTCTTAAAAAGAAAGGAGTTAATAATGCTTATTATCACATCATTAAAAATATATATGCATGAGCTATTACTTGTGTTCAAACACAAGGTGTTTTGACCGAGTATTTTCCTATTTCTGTTGGATTACATCAAGGATCAGCCTTAAGTCCATATATTTTTGCTTTAGTCATGGATGTTCTCACTACACATTTGTAAGAGGTTGTACCTTGGTGTCTACTTTTTGTTGATGATATTCTTCTTGTTGATAAGACTAGAGAAGGAGTTAAAGGTAAACTTGAATTATGGAGGTCAACCTTTGAGTCTAAAGGTTTTCGCTTGAGCATATCTAAAATTTAATATATGGAGTGTAATTTTATTAGCAATAAACTTAATGAGGGGATTGTGACTTTGGGAAATCAAGTCATTAGTAAGAGTTCATGTTTTAAATATCTTAGATCTATTATTCAGAGTGATGGTGAAATAGATAGGGATATTATTAGCAAAATTCAAGTTGGTTGGTTGAAGTGGAGGAATGCATTGGGCTTATTTTGTGATAGAAACGTTACCCTCAAAATTAAGGGAAAAGTTTATAAGATGGAGGTGAGACCTGCAATGCTTTATGGTGCCGAATTTTGGCCATTAAAAGAGAAGCATAATACTAAGTTAAGTGTTACAAAAATGAAGATTCTTAGGAGGATGAGTGGCTTTACCCTTAGAGATAAGATATGAAATGAGCATATACGGGAAAAGGTTGGAGTAGCTCTAATGGAAGATAAGATTAGAGAGAGTCTCCTAAGATGGTTTGGTCATATAAAATGGAGGCCTTCTGATGACCCAATTAGGAAAGTTAAGGTATTAGATTTGCTTTATATTACGAAAGGTAGAGTTCTACCTAAAAAAACTTGATTAGAAAATATTAGAAATGTTTTTTCTTTATTAGATTTAAATGAGAATTTAACTTTTAACAGGACACAATGGCAATAAAGGATTTAGGTAGTTGACCCCACATAGTGGGACAAAGGCTTGATGTTGTTGTTATTGTTGTTGTATCAATTCAATCTCAATCCACAATTCCAGTTCAATTCAAAATCTAAACTTCAATTCAACTTTAAATTTAGATCAACCCAGACCTTTATTCAATGGCTTTTTAGAGAGTTCGTTTTCAAGAAAGAGAAGCTCACGGATTCTAGAGAGAGAAAGTGTTCGTTTTCAAATTTTTTTTTCCCGGGCTTGGTTCCGTTCTTTGTGAAATTGGATAATGGAAGGTCAATGGATGGCCGTCGGCCATCTTCGGCGGTGGGAGATGTAGGAATTGCTAAAGGAAGAAGATCAGTTTTGTCAAGAGAGAAGGATAGTCATCGTTCTTCTGCGGTATTGAGAGATAATAAGTTTGATGATGGGGTTTCTGGTGATCAAGATTTGGGAGGAATTGTTCGTAAGAAGCATATAGATGGTGCTTTCGTTCGGCCTTTAGGACCGTTGATGATTAAGGAGAATGGTTTGGAATCGGTCTAGAAGGTTTCGTTCATTACTGGTAAGGGGAAGGCAATTGTCGAAGAAGAGAAATTTGTTTCTCCTGTTACTGTTAGTAATGTTTTTGATCAGTTTTATATTGATCCTGCGGCGTCTTCTGCAGAAATGAATATTTATGTTAATAGGTTCGGCAATTCAAATGTAATCTCTGGTTTAGGCCATGGGATAAATGTGAATGTTTGTAATCCTGTTAACAAAGATGTTCAATTCTTTTCTAGTTCTGTTTTTTGAATTTTCCAAGGAGGCGGATAAGGTTACTGATGGAATGTCTATGAAGAAATTGGATGGGGTGGATTATAATCCGTGGAAGAGGAAGCCATATATTATGTTGGATTTTAAAGAGGAGGTTATGGTCTTCTCGGAAGACGGCAAATCTGTGAAATTGATAGAAGAAAGAGAGGTTTCTAATTCTCAGAAGCTAAGGAATTCTTTGGTGATTAAGGTTTTTGGGAAGGAAATTCCCCCTCATGTTGTTTCTTGGGAAATAAGGAGGCAGTGGAAAATGTTTGGTAGTTTTCATTTTACAACATTGGGGAAAGGATGGTTTCTTTATTCATTTGAGTCTAATGAGATGATGGAAGGTGTTTTATCGGGAGGGCCGTGGTTTTTCATTGGCTTTATTGTGGGGATGGAGAAATGGTCTTTGGAGTTTTCCACTCTTTCATTTAAAGGTTTAACTTCACCAATCTGGATCAGAATGCCTCACTTGCCCTTACAGTGTTGGGATGAAGTGAATGTGGCTCGTATTGCTTCAGCAATTAGTAAACTGTTGATGATGGATGGTAATATGTTCCAATGGGGTATAAGAGAATTTGCCAGAGTTTGTGTTAGAGTTAAGTTGGATCAGTGTCTTCCTCTAGGTGTTTGGGTTGATAGTATCTCTAGAAAGTTTTTTAAGAGATTTGAGTACGAGAAGATCTCGACTCTTTGCTATGGATGTGGAATGGTGGGACATCTTAAAAATGATTGTAAAGTGAAGGCTGATGGAAAATCTGGTAAGGAGTTGTATGAAAGTGAATATAAAAAAGCCAAGGAGGTAGTAAAAATTTATGAAGAGGTTGCTGGTCACTCTTATGGTCCTTGGATCATGGTGAAGAAAAAATTTAATAGAAGAACTATTGCTCTGAAGGATAAAATGAAACTTGCAAAGAAACAATGGTTGAAAGTGGGCTGTATCCAGGAGGAAGTGGCTGAAAAAGCTATTCAAGGTGTTGATTTTGTTGATAAGGTGGTTGAAATTGCTGTCAATAATCATTTAGAAGAAGGAGAGATACCTGATGTAGATGTTGAGGGAGATGCTGTATCAGGGAGCGACTTCGGCCGTACTCTGGAGGCTGTTGTTTCTTCTAAGGATACTTTAATGAATGATGGTATGGATTCTAATGTTAATACTCCTATTTTTCCTATCATTTTGAATAATTTTGATGTGTTGAATGAGATGGAGGATGATGGAAGAGGGAGTGTTTGCATTAAAACCAATTATGGTGGGGATGGGTATGTTAACAGTGAAAGGTGTCTTCTTAATGTTGATAGTCTAGTTGGTATGGGATATGATAAAGGCTGTGAAGGTAATAAGTATGCTGTGAATAGTGAGAAGGAGATTGTTTCTAGTGGAGACCTGGTGAAGTGTAAGCTTGCTAAAGAACTTAGAGCTTTGGGCCCTATCAAGAGCAGTTCTAAAGGTAGAAATGTGGAGGGAGGAATGAAGAAAAGAGGCGGGGGCTCTTCCCCTAGAGTTTCTTAATGAATTCAATTATTTTTTGGAACTGTAGGGGGGCCAAAAAAAGGGAGGCCTCTCTTTTTTTAAAGGAGATTATCAAAGATTACAATGTCTTCTTTGTTGGTTTGATTGAAACTAAGATTTCTTCTATGGATAGAGACTCGTTTGTAAGGATGATGGGGCAGGGTTGGGACTTTTTTCTGCTTCCTTCTGTAGGTCTTTTTGGTGGTATTATGGTGTTGTGGAGATCAGATATGGCGTCTTTTATGTTTTGAAAACTTCTGACCAATGTGTTATTGGTGAGCTCAATGTTTTCAATAAAGGAGATTGGATGATTACTACTGTTTATGCTAGTAAGGAGATTCTTAAAAGGAGGTGTCCATGGGATCTTGTACAGGAGGCTTCTCAGAGAGATATCCCTTCTATTATTGGAGGGGATTTCAATTGCATTTTGGCTAAAGAAGATAAAAAAGGAGGTAGGAGATTCAAGTTCAATCAAGGATCTTTGGATATGGTGAAGTTTATGAATGATAATGATTATCATGAAGCTGGGTTTGTTGGACCAAGATTCACTTGGTGTAACAACAAAGGGGAGGAGATCGGATTCTTGAAAGACTTGATAGGTGTATTCTTAATACCTTGGCCATCAACAAAATCTAAATTACTTTGGTTAGACACCTTTCCAGAGTTGCTTCGGATCATTGTCCGATTGTTCTGAAGATATTTGAGATGGTTTGTAAAGGTAGAAGTGGATTCAAGTTTGAAGACACTTGGTTGTCCTTCAAGACAGCGGAACATATTGTTTCTAGTAGATGGAAGAGAACTTTCTTGGGAGATGATATGGAGGTTCTTAACAAAAAGAGCAAAAGAACTATAAAAGATTTATTTTACTGGAGTAAGGCTAGACTGAAGGATTTCTCCTTGGAGAAAGACATACTGAAAGCCGAGATTATAAATTTGCAAGAAGAAGAATCTAAATGTGGTTGGTTGACTGATGAGAAGCTTTGGTTACTTAAAGCTAAGGATAAAGAACTTAATGTGGTTCTTAATAATCTTAACACGTGGTGGAAGCAAAGGGCAAAAGCTAAGTGGATCAAAGATGGTGATGCAAATACCAAATTCTTCCATTCCTTTGCCAATTCTAGGAGGAATGTTAATCGGATTTCCCAAGTTAAGGACTCTAATGGGATAATGACTGAAGACCCGAAAGAGATTGAGGAGGTTTTCAGGAAGTTTTTTCAGTGGAAGTGGAAATCAAGAGACTGCAGCTTTTCTAGATGGCCATAACCGTGGACATTGCTGGAAGACCGTGACAGGGAAGTGTTGAACAAAGATTTGGAAGTTGCTGAAATTAAAGTTGTTATAATCAATCTGGGTAGTAATAAATCTCCAGGCTATGATGGAATTACTAATTCCTTCTTTAAAGCTTTTTGGAATACTATTCGAATGGATGTGGTGAGAGCTGTACAACAATTTTTTGCCACTGGTTTAATGAATAAAGATTGGAAAGACACCTTAGTTGTGCTCATTCCTAAATCTCCTAATCCCAGTACTCCTTCGACTTACCGTCCTATAAGCTTATGCAATTTAATTTATAAAATTATTGCTAAAGTTTTATTGAACATAATGTTGGGAGTCATGCGCAGGATCATTTCTGAGGAGCAAGCGACTTTCGTAAGAGGAAGGGCAATCTCTGATCATCTTCTTCTGGCTCAGAAGGTTTTTAACAAAATGAGATTTTCCAAGGCTTGCAATGGTTTCTTGGCTTTTAAAGTGGATATGGAGCAAGCATATGATAGCATGTGCTGGTCTACTTTGGAGAAAATAATGCTTGAATTGGGATTCCCTTCAAGGTTTGTTCATTTAGTGTTGGAGTGTATTACAACTCCAAGGTTTTCTATTAAGATCAATGGTATGAATTCTAGTTGGATTCAGGGAAAGAGTGGCTTTCGTTAGGGATGCCCTCTATCACAATTTCTTTTTGTTCTTTGCTCCCAATTGCTTTCTAATGCCTTTCATAGGAGGGGTTCTGATGTGGGTATTAGGATCTCTTCTAATACCCATAAGATTTCTCACCTCTTATTTGCAGATGATATTCTAGTGTTTTTGGAAGCCAAATTGAATGTCATGAAAAAGGTTAGAGAGATTATGAAGAATTACTGTAAGTGGACTGGTCAAAATATCAATTACCACAAATCTTCCTTGGTTTGTGGTAGCTCGGTGGATAGAAGGAGAAGAATACAGATTTCCAAATTTATGGGTATCAAGTTGGTTAATGAATTTGAGTATGTGGGCATCAAATTGGCATTGAGACAGTTAAGGAAGGAGGACTTTCAGGTTTTATTGGACAAGTCCAGTAAAAGAATTAATGCTTGGGGGAATAAATTTGTTTCCTTAGCCGGTAGACTGGTTTTAATTAAATCAGTTACTCTTTCTCTTTCATTTTTTGTTATGTCTCATTCTATGATTCCAATGAAGATGCTGATGGAATTTGAGAAAATATGTAGAGATTTCATCTGGAACAAATTTGATGGCAAAAGGGGTATTCATTATGTAGCATGGGAACAAATTTGTAAGCCTAAACAGTTTGGTGGCTGGGATGTACATTCTGTTGTGGCTAGGAGGAATGCCATGAGAGCAAAGTTTGCTTGGAAATTAATTGATAAACATGAGTCACTGTTGAGCAGTCATCTTATTGCTAAATATGGTGTTAATTGGTGGAGCTATGGGCTGAGTAGGAGCAGTTCCTCTACGTGGAAGATAATGTCATCAGGATGGAATGCACTCAAGGATCATGTTAGATGGAGAATTGGTGATGGTTCCAAAATTAAAGTGTTGAAGGATACCTGGATTTTAGATAAGTACTTACTCAAATGGCTAACGTTTGTGGGTTGTTTTGAAGATGAGGATGTTTCTCTGGACAGTTTCATTTCAGATGGCTACTGGGACAGTGAAAAACTGTTTATGTTCTTTAGGACAGATCTTATTAATCTCATTTGTGAAGTTAAGATTGATCCTTATTTGCAGGAGGATTGTATGGAATTGAAACATAAGATGTCTGGTAAGTCATTATCTGCATTAATTATGCAAGATAACTTCAAAAACCTTGAAGAAGTGATGCCATTAAGATGGGTTTATAAATTGGGCTTAAATGCAAGAGTGGAGGTCTTTATTTGGAGAATGTTTACGGATGCTCTTCCATCAGGTGATTTCTTATTTAGGATGAAACTTGCTGATGATTCTTGTTGCCCAATGGGATATGGAATTGTGGAGGATGTCAATCATATTTCATCCAGATGCTATAAACTCAGGAAAGTGCTGTATGTGAAGAGAGGATGGGGATTCCAGGTTCAAGTTTTTAATGGATGGGAGGACTCCTGGAATAGTCTTCAGAAGGTCAAAGATGGGAATATGATGATGGTAAAATTGTATTTTACTGCTATTTGATTTGTTTGGAATCATAGAAATAAGTTTAAGCATGGGAATCCGGAAGTTAGTGAAGTGTTTATTGCTACTTCAATTCTTAGTTTTTTCAGCCAGGATAAACAGCATCTTGTTCAATCAAAGAACTGGGTTGTCAATCAGTCCCTTGGACTGTCTTTAAGTAAATGGCAACCTCCTCCACTTGATTGGATTAAGATTAACCTTGATGCTTCACTTAAAGGGAATTATGAGGCAGGTATTGGCGGTATTGTAAGGGATTGTAAAGGAAGGTTTCTTCTTGCTTTTGGGAGAAAGAAAATGCATTGGGACATTGCCCAGCTGGAGTTATCCGCTGTTTTAGCTCTAACAGATAATATACGTGACAGATTTGATGATGTTGGAGGCATTATAGTAGAAGGGGACAATAAAAATGTTATAGAAATTCATCACAAAATGCACAGTATACCGAAGAATGTGGATAGGAGATTGGATCTTGAAGATTCTTCATTTCTTAACAAGGTAAATAATGTGATTTTTCATTGGGTTAATCGTAGTTGTAATAGATTAGCTGATTTTTGTGCTAATCATGCTCTTTTTTTTTTTATTTTCTTTGGGATTTATTTTGTGATAGTGAACTACCTTCTTCAATTTGTGCTATATTAAAGGAAGAGTGTGTTAGTGCTATACACTATCAGTAGTTTGTACCTAGGTTTTTGCCTTATTTTTTCTTCTATGCAATATTAGCATTTTTAAAAAAAAAAAAAAAAGACCTTTATTCAAAACTCAATCTATACCTCAATTCAAGTCCCAATCATATTCAATGAAGCTTTAATTCAATCCTCAATCAAGCCTTAATTCAATCTTTAATTAAGTGTAAATCAACCTCCAATCAAACTTCAAATCAAACTTTAATCACATCAAATTAATCATAATTATTAATTTGATTTTGATTTTATGTTGGTAATTCAAACTCAATAAATCAAATTCAAAAACCCAACTCAATCCTTGAAATCCATACCAAAATCTAGAGTTAAAGGATTATATCATGAAAGTCTTTTTGAGTAAATTTTTAGCCTCTTCAAGACTCAGTCAAATGACCTTTAACTCATGATCTGCTAATTATATATTGATTAAGCATTTTCCTAGGTTCTGCCCTCCAACTTTGAGCTTAATCTAAATGAATATATTTCCAAGGGCGATAAAACCTTCAAATATTTGCAACTTATGCCACTATACCTGCCACTTTGTGGGATTTGACCTTGAGACCTTCCCCAAGAGCATTGTTCATGTCCATAGCTTCTTTTATGATAATGTTGAACATTAAATTGAATTTTTGTGGACTTAGTTTGACATATAGTTGACCAAGGTTCAAAATGACCAAAGTGCCCCTTAAGGGTAAAATTGAAGTTTTCTTTAATCTTTAATATGAACCAATCAAATCAAATCCTGAAACCTCCTCTAATGCATCCAAAACACCATTAGGAATGCATTGGACTCAAACCTAGACCTTCGTCAAGTCTGGTTAACCAAGTCAACCTAATTTAACCAAAAAACCCTATAATGATTTAATTGGTTATTTCAAACCAAATTCCCTCACCTTTTCATGATAGCACCTCCATTCAACTCAAAACATAATTTCAAACTTGTTGAGCCCAATCCCTGACCCTGGTCCAACTTGGTTGACCAAGTTAACTTGGGTTGACCAAATGTCCCCTTAAGGGTCTAGATGTTCATTTTCATTCAAATGATCACCCTGACCTTGAAATCATATACGTTAATCTCTAATGATCAAACCAAATTTATTGAGTCTAAACCCAACATCTGGGTTGACTTGGTCAAGTCAACCAGGGTTGATAAAATCAACCTATAAGACTTTTCTACATTAGATCAAGCCTCAATTATACTAAAACCTTATAAAAACACTTGATCACATTCCCTAATTATTTGGGGTTGACTGTTCACCATAACCCAATCAATAGTTGACCTAGTCAAATAGTTCCAAGTCTGGTCAAACTAGATCAAATTTAGCCAGATCATTGTATGTGACTCAATCAAAGTTCTCAACCACTCATACTCATTCCAATCTATGGTCCAAGAAAACCCAAACTAATCATGAGTCACATTAATATAAGTTTATCAAAGTCAATAACCTTGAGCTTGGTTAAACTTCCACATTTTGGTCAAACCACTACATGCATTCAATCAAATCCTATCAAGCCCATGATCTTATTCCATTCTATAATTTAAATTTATCCAAATTTCATACAAGTCAAATTTTAGTGAATTTAACAAAAGTAAACTTTGACATTTGATAAAATTCCCATATCTTTACTCAAATCTCTAATCTATCTATTTAAACCACTTGAAGCCACCTCAATAACAACTCAACTATTCCCTTGAGACCACCTAGGTCACCCTTCACCTATTGATCGGTCAAACCAATCAATAAAGACTTAAGACAACACTAAATTATCATTATAATTTCTTAAGCTATTTCCACTCAACTTCAAATCATCCCACCCATTTAATCACCTTATAGAGTCTTCCTAAATTGGTCCTCAGCCTTAGGTTCAAGCTTAAACCAAGCCTAACCCTCCACATGTACATATAGGGCCAAAATCACCTTTCCACCTAATATGCTTTGGTTCTTTGATTCCCTATCACCCTAAAAACTCCATGACACTTGGCATCCATATGAGAGTCTAGCCAAATGATCCCACCCATGCATTCAGCCTGGGGATGTTTGAATTGGGAAAAATACTTAAAATAAGGGATATTCTACACTTAGAACTCCTTATTACTCCATATCCCTCAAGCCTCAAAATCTTTTTGTTTGAGCTCTGAATATCCTACTTTATATTCCCTTAGTTCAAATCCACCACTCAAACCCCACTGAAGCTAATTCTCTGGTGAACTGAAACATATTCTATTTAAGAGCTTAGATAGTTCGATCCAGGTGTTTCTAGCTCATGGAGTCTTCTACAAAAGTTATACATAAACAATCATCAAATTTAGAGGGTTCAAAATTACCCAAATCCATTGGTTGGATTAAGTAAAATCTTAAACGCTAGTTTAGGACACATATATTTAAATAACTTTGTTAAAAGTGCATCTTAAATCATCAAATCATCCCCCCATAAATTTCTGTTCACTAGTACAATCCCTATTTAAAATTTTAACCAAAATGATCAAGCCATTTTTAAGAACGACTTAATTTTTATTTCAGGGTATCAGTTTAATGTATCAATGAGCTAAATATTTTATGGGACACTGACCTTGCAGACAACAGCCTAGATTACGTTAATTCATGGTTTATCAGAACAGTGTGTTTTGCTTGTTCGATCTAATCCCTATTTGGCTCAATAAGAGCCATCCATTCAAAATGCTAGAGGTTTGAATAGTGTCTACACTATGTTGACATGTTTAAGTGAAACCATGTGGGTCTACTGCCATACTAATCATTAAGCAATGATTGCGCCATCATGCAATCATTACTAATGATTGGCCTGTCACCACTGTGTAATCAATGCCAATGATTGGCCCATCACCTCTGATGTTTGGAATGACCAATCAGGGGCCATTACACATCCCTTCTAGCATCGCTAGAGCAATTAATTGGTCTAAATTATTTTTAAATCATTTTAATTAAAAGAAACTTTAAAAAATCATTAAAAAATTCATTTTAAATCCTAAAATTTAGTGCAATATAATAAATTACACAAAATTTTAAGCACTTCCATTTAAAATTAAAATTATTTTAAAATATTTATATATTTAAATAATTTCAAATATTAAATGTTTGCTATTTTCTTAAATATAAATCTAAATATTTACAAATTTTGAGGAAAATCATTTTCATACATTTATAATTTTATATAATTTTCTCCAAAATTATTTGAATTATATTTTTTATATTACTTTACATTCATAAAATTCAAGATTTATATTTCAATTTGTAATTTTAAAAAATTGCTTTTATTATATATTTTAAATCTTTTTTAGTACATTGAGCTTGGATTTGAAATTTTGAATAGAAATTATCATAATTAAATGTATTAATTGTGGATGGATTGATGGGTCATTAGGTTTTAATTTTTTTTATTATCCAAATTTCCAAATTATTTAAGTTGTCTTGATTTTGATTGCTAAGATTACACTTGCACCTAGTTTAAGTCTCTCCTTGCTCTAGGACATATGATTATGATATTATGTGATGCATTTGTGTTTTTTTAAGGGTTAGCAACATTGATTTTTAATCCTACGCAACCAAGTGTCACTTAAGGTCAATAATTAAGGGCTCATTTTAGTAATATAGATTAATTTTAGAAAATTAAATTGACATGTAGTAGGCATGAAACTTGAGACACTTAAACTTAGTGACACCCTCTACCCTAGTATAAATTCCCATTGAATTTTAAATCTTCAAGTCCATTATTTAACTAATTCAAAATTAAACCCTTAGTTAAGCTCAAAACTTCTAAAAATTACATTAAATTTAAATTAAATCATAAAATTTCAAGTAATATATCAGATTAACTAGAATTAAACCCTTATTCAGAGACAATTAAATATCCCCTTAATCGGACTTAAATTTTGAGCTTAATTTAATTTTGAATGAAAATTAATAATTAATTAAAAATAATTAAAATTTCAAAAATTTTAAAACACTTGAGAACACTCAATTTAGCTATTACTAACCTTTGGGAGTGATTTCAAGAAGCTTGGAATCAGTTTGATTCAAATCATTAAAAACCATTTAATTAAATAAATTAAATAATTCAATTAAACATCAAAACTTTGAAAATTCATAACTAATTATAGAAAGTTCCAAATTAAACAAATTCAAAGGCATTAGACTCCATTTAAGGTCTAGTATTTATTGAAAATGTCAGCCCTCGAAAAATCTTTTAAAGTCAAAATATTAACTTTTTAGTCAACACAAATTCAAATTTCAACTCAAACTTAAATAATTCATAACTTAATCCAGAAAAATCCAATTCTAGTAAACTTAGTGTTTAATTACTTATTTTAGGACCTAGTATTTTAGAAAATTATTAAAATTTCAGAACTTAATTTAAAAGTCAAATTTAACCCCTTTAATTAATATATTTACATTTTTTTAAATACCATAATCAACTTAATTTTCAGAACACATTAATGTTAATTTTTTAAATCGACAAATAATAAATTTAATTAAAAAATTATCAACCTTTAATATTCAATCAATTAAGTCATTTAATTAATACTGATTACTACTAGGTAACCCATGCCTATGAGGCTATTAACTTATCTCTAAGGAAGGTGAAATAAACTATATGTTTTTGATATAAACAAAGATAGTAATCATTTAACTCTTAAAATACTTTTTAATTTGACTTCAAAATATTAAAACTTAAATTCAAGATAAAACCCCTTAAGCCTTTCAACCAATCAAAATCTCAGAAAACTTTAACTAATTACCCAGTATAGGATATATCCAAGCCACTTAACCTTCTCTACACAATTTAGATGATTTATTAGGATAGCTAACTCTAGTTTTAGGCTAGGTCCGTGTTTACTTTTTTTACAGTGTGTGCTAGATTTTCATGATTTTCATGGCGTACTGGTTGCTAGAATTAGTTGATGTGATTATTTATGAAATTTTAATGTAATCTATGAATTTATGTAGGCATTAGATTACCCTTAGGTTAGGAAATATCTAATTTCTCACAATTTTTTTTAGATGGCCAAGCTCATACAGGGCTATAAAAAATGGGGGCAAAAATTAAGCTTTTAATTAACAAGTTTACTATAGGTGCTATAATTGCTAAGCCCCTCTTTAAATTAAAAGAGCATGGCTAAGCATGGCTATCATTGAGATTTAAATATTTTAATATATATAGCTTCTTGAGATGTTGATTTAAATTTTAATTACTTAGGATAACCTTGCAGGTTGTATTTAAGTCTAGATTTTCTTTATTTCATGCATATATAATTTAATAAATTTGAATTTAAGTTTGAATTAACTTATGTTAAAATGATATTTGAGATGAGATACACATCCAATTTGGAATCCTGAGAGGAGAAAACATCCTTTCAGGAAGAGTTCTTTTCCATTTGGAGATCCAAATTAGGATAATTTTGAGTATCTAAGGAGAAAAGAAAACACCCCTTCAGGGAGGAGTTTCTTTTCACTTGGATATACGAACCTAACAAATCTAAACAGCTTGCAAAAACATGAAGAAGTGAAGATAGAGAAGAATTCCATTCTCAAAGTCACTTGTAATTGTCTTAGGTGTAGAATTCTGGTTCTTATCATTGGTACTAGACTACTTTTAAATTCTACAGACCGTGAGCTGTAATATTATGTGGTATTTACCACACGGATATTCTACTTGATTTAATTGATTTGATTTGATTTATTTAAATTGATTACATTATAGAAATGACATATTTTTCTAGCTTTACTTATTTTATGTTGATCTTTGATTTAGCCTTGAATAGATTGGAGGCTCATGAGGTATGATTCAAAAATTTTTATTTTAATTAAATTAAAAATTTTAAGCTCACACAAACATTGAATGGCTTTAGGAAGTAAGTCTAGGAATGACTCGAGAGTTTGCATGTATCATTTTAAACTTTTTCTTCCTTATTAGGTACTTCCCTACCAATGGGTTCTGGCAGACCACCTAACCTTTTAAGGTGTTGTTCTATCAAGGGAATTTTTTGCAATCTTTAGGGAAAAAAAATATATTTTTAAGCTTTTTTAAAATTGCTTCATATTCAATTTTTGTATTCATTGTGTCAATTAGCATGCATTGTATTAGAAATAAACTAACAAGTTAAAAAATTTTTAATTATATTTTATTTCAAGCATCAAATCACCCTACATGTATTAAGAGGCCAATTAGGATCTACTTTAGATATCGACCTTGATTGCTAAAACTTAATTAATCAACTTCCCTACTACTCTTTCATAAAAGATCAGACTCATGGATTTTTAGCACTTAGGTGGTTGCCTAGCTCCCCAATTCGGGCCGGGGTAACTCCAGATTTGTACTATATTAACTAAGTTTGGACCATTATTGTCCAGTGCCTAATTTAGATTTAGGTTTTGAGGTAGATTTCGAATCTTAATTCCTCACCCTTCGAGAATCTAATCCTATTATTCTAATAAATTGACTAATTCAAATTAAAACCTCTCAAATAAAAACTTAAAGTTTAACATATCGGATAAATTAGGTGTTTTTGAATCCTAAAATAAGTGGCCCAATTTGATCCATTACCATTTAAAATTATAGTTTTAATCCTTTGATATCATTCTTTTAAAAATCTAAAAATGAAAATTCTGTGATTATTTTAATAGAGAGTCATCATAAGAAACTTAACTTTCCTATGATGTAATTAACTACAAGCTTGTGTTCATAGGAGATTTAAAGAACCTAGATAAATTTTTAAAATTAATTTTTTCAAAAACTCATTTAAATTTCTTTGATAAAATTAAATTTAATGATGATCATTATCATAATATTCAAATAATTGATAGTGAATGATATCTTCTTTCTTCAAAAAGATTTATTATTTTATTATCATAACTTTTATTATGAAATAATTATTCTTTATCTAGATTATCACAATCAAACACTAGATCAAACATCATTTTGAACTTTTGGGGTCATATGTGGTTATTCCCTTAATTTGACTATGATGATCATGATTAACCTATAATTTTATAATTTAAATCCATATGGGATTAATATTTTTGCCTCTCGAGGTGATATATCATTTATAATGATGTTTTCAATTTCAAAACTAAAATTTAAGAAATTAAATTCTCCCAAAGAAAATTAACTTTCAATACTCTTATTTTTAATCAAACAAGAAAATGGTGACTTTGTTGGGGATAATTCTCTCTCGCTCTCTCTCTCTCTCTCTCTCTCTCTCTCTCTCTCTCTCTCTCTCTCTCCATCTTTAATAATCATAGAATATTTATTGCATTGGTTATTTTGATTGTCTTTCTTCCTTTAGTCCCTCTACCCATTTTTATATTGGATGAGTGTAGCCAACATCAATAAGGCTTGTCAAAAGAGATGTGAGTGAGGAAACCTTTTTCAAACTTAGGCTTTAACATTTTTACCTTCAAGTTAATTGGTGGATCAAAATAGTTAAGCCAAACCTTTTCAGATCTTTGTGTAAATTTTGTAAGCATACATATATGAGTTAATCTTAATATGCTGAGTTTGAGAATTTATAGAAGATTTGTGAACTCTAATTTCAAAATTCAAAATTTTAAAGCTCAAACCTAAGCTTTAACATTTCACCTTCAAGGCAATTGGTAGAGTGAAAGAGTGAGGCCAAATCTCTATATTTTCTTATTAATTTTGTAAACCCTCATATTGGGTGAAACTTAATAAGTCGAGTTTCAAAATTTGAAGAAAATCTATCAATTTTTTAATATTAAAAATTCTTTTTAAAATTCATCAAATCAATTCCAGATTATCTTTGCCATATGTTTTTCTACGATATCTCCTTGTAGTCTAGCATATGCAATAAGAATTCATTTTTTTTCAAATCATAATCAACATATATATTTTGTCATAGTATACTTGACTATATCTTCTTTAATCTAGTATATGTGATAAAATATAAGATATTTTTCAAATTCAATTTCAAAATTCTAATTCAAATATTTTCTCTTCAAATTCCAAATAATCTAATTTTTGAAATGTTTCAAAAGGTAATCTTCTTAATTGACCATGATTTATATGTTAAGGAACTGTATGCAATAATTCAATCTAGTTTGGAATGGGTTTCAAAACCCTCAAGGTGTTTGTTAATGGGGAAATAAATGTTAACCTCATCACTAAGGGCGATAATGGCATCATTCTAGTTGAGATAATAGTCAGGGTGGGGACTGACCCCCCTTTTCCAAAAAAGGAGGTTACTGTCGCCCATATACCTATTGTATCCTTTAGGGAGGATGAGCAGTTGAAGTCTATTATAGATCATGCAGTCAAGTCTGTGTTCGAGAAGGGGTCAAGTTCTGAGATCCCCTTCACAAACCAAGAATCAACGGAAGAATTACCTAAGAAGAGTTAGAAAGAAGATAATAAAGTCTAAGAAGATTATTAAGTTGAAGGCTTTAAGCCAGGTAGAGCCTAAAGCTATTAAGGAGCTACCTATTCTTGCCTCCTCTCCACTTCTTAAAGGGAGTCATTTTTATTCCGTCACTGCTGCTGTAGGGGAGGGGATGGTCTCTTGGATAGTCAGGTCTCCACCATACTTGGTGGACTACTATGTCAGGAAGACCCCAAATAAGAAGAAAACGTTAAAAACTTGTATGTTAAAGCAGGTGAGACTAAATAATACTGTATAAGAAACCTAAAGGGTGTGATATCACACAAATTTAAGAAGGAAGTATTGAAGGAAGACAAACATGAAGTTGGGAACTTGAATTATAAGATGGTAAGGAGAAACAAGAAATTTGTCAAGTAACTGGTATCCTCTATTTTGGAGGATAGATACCACTAGGTGCCTCACCTCCTATTTATAGAGCTGAAGGAGATAGTTCTAGTTGGATATGGAAAGATCCACCCTTATAAAGATAGACCGCCAATCCCTATGTCAAGATTATCAAAGTTGGGCCTAGTTATAACTAAGTCTAAACAAGCCATTGAGATTAAAAATTATTTTAAGAAGTTAAGGGTAAGATGCCCATGTCGCCAAAGAAATAGTAGGTACCGAAGAAGTTCATTAAGAGTGATTATATTGAACCACCAGTAGATGTCCCTAGACTCCCCATTGAGGGATGTGAGGACTCCACCCTCCATGATGTAGGAGATACCACCTCTCAAGCTCCTTCATCACCTATTAAGGTGGATGCCCCTCATCCTATGGAGGATATGCCATGCTTACGACTACCGACCTCGAGTCAATTGGAGGGGAGTGGATTATTATAAACACATATGAGGAGATGCTTGAATAATTAGTAGTAGAGAATCTAACTAATGAAGATCTTAAGATCTATGATATCTTTTCCAAGTTAGAGGAAAAGGAGTTTGATGAAAGATTTGAATATAAAGGGTACTTATAAATCAACTCTAAATCAATTGATGGTAGATTAATTGATGAAGTTGTCTAGGATATTTGGAATATATTTAAGAAGAAAGTAATATAAGCATTTGATTCACATTCTGATGATTTGTTAATGGATGAAGATACAATCGCAACATATATATTATCAAAACTAGAGCGTCAGCTAAGGATGCTTAACTTAGTAAGCATCAATCTGACAAAGGGTAAGAGTTGGTAGGAGTTAATTCATATTCAGTTGGCTTTGTCATGTAGAGAGAGTTACTATTTGCATGTTTTACATTCTTGCAACTTGTATTATTTTGATGATTTCAAATATTATTATTTTTATATATCTCCTAACATTTTGGAAGTTTTATTTTTGCTCTAGTGTGTATTAACATTTTAGAAAAATCAACTCCAAGCGATGAAGACTTCAAACTATTCATTTGTAAATCATAAGTTTTTAAATGAAAGGAAGTGATTGTAATTGAGTGAAAAATCACAACACACACTCTTATCGGACAATTTTTGTGAACTGATCGTACGGGACGAACTGGTTCGTACGGGACGATCATGTCAATTAACCCCTCAGAAGAGCAATGGATTGAACATGCGAGGAGAAAATTTTCTAAGTCCTAATCATCCAGGACAAATTTAATATTCATCCCGGGATGAACTTCTCAGGATTCTTACGTGCACTGTTCATCCAGATGAAAAATAAGATTCATATTGAGACGAAACTCTCTGTATGAGATAATACAAGATGAAATTAATTTTTGTCCTTGGATGAAACTCTGTGTTTAAAATCGTCCCAGGACGAAACCTATTCGTCCTAGGACGAATTGAACCGACTTACGTCAGTCCTGTAGAATTTTTAGGAATCGACCTATGTAATAACCGTTTCGTACCGAACGAACATAGTTTGTACGGGATGATGATAGTATACGAACATAGTTCATACCAATATACATTAGGTTCGTTTCTGACACTTAAAGTAAAATTGTCCAGGATGATCCACGATCATACGGGACTATCCACTACGTACATAATTGAAAACTTGCAGTTTTTGGGCAGTTTTTCTTGTCTTTTGTATATATAGTTCAAATTAGACTGCCACCCAATCTTTTTGCCATTTGATCTTCATGCCTATTGAAATAAAAGTCAAGGAGAGAGTGTGAGAGAGCATTCAAAGGAGGATTTCTACCATTGGAGCGTGAGGGCTTCACTTGGTGTTCAAAGGTAAGAATCTCTACTTGTAATTTGGGATTACTTCACTCTTTTCTTTCTTCCTTCTAGATTTCTTGTGAGAAGATTTGTCAAGGAGATCCGGTTCTCTGCAGACACTAGGAGAGTGTGAAAGGACGAAGGGTTCTCTGCCCTCACTAGGAGAGTGTAAAAAGATGACGGTTCTCTGCCAACGCTAGGGAAAGTGTAAAAGGATGACGGTTCTCTGCCAACACTAGGGAAAGTGTAAAAGGATGACGGTTCTCTACCGCACCGGGTAGTGGTGAAAAGAGTGGTTGTAAATGCTTCTCGGCCTTGCTGTGAGTGCAAAAGGAGAGACACTATTGGTATTAGTGCAATACTCAGAGGGTGCCTCTAGGGAGTGGATGTAGGTCTGGTTTAGACCGGACCACTATAAATCGTGTGTCCTTTTATTTCACTGCTTTTTATTTTCCGCATTTAATTTAGTGTTTTAAAATTGTGGTTGAAAAACTTTTTATAAAAATTCATTAAATTTTAATTTCGGTTAAACTTATCAAAAGAGGGAAAATTTTTAAATACAAATTCACCCCCCTTCTTGGTAGCTTTGGGACACTAACTTAGGTCTAACAACCTATTTACTAGAGTCAATAGGTCAGATTGAGAGAAAAAGATATGTACATGAAGAGTCTTGAAAGAAAAGTTGAGGAGATGATGTTAAGGGTTGAACAAATATAGAGTCATCTTATGGCACAACAGTTTTATCCCGAGTAGTTGTAACCTATTATACACACTATAGGTGAGCAGAGTAAAAGATGATATTCAAGTCCCAGATTTCCAAAGTCTACACCAATAGTTCCTCTTGTAGCACCAGTGATTTCTCTAATCATTCCTGCTACACCAACGGATAAAAAGATGGATGATTGAAAACAGATAAGGGAGGCCCTAACACTTTCTCAAGGGATCATACATATTCTGAAGGATATGCCCTACCCTGAAGAAAAATATTTAGTCCCTTACCCAAAGGGCTTTATGCCACCTTCTTTTAAAGTCTTCAGTGGTCTTAAAAATCAAAGACAACATCTGACCCATTTCTGAGCAAGGTGTTGCAACGTAGGAGGGTTCGATGCTATACCATTTTTCCAATTTATTAGTATTTTATCTAGGATTATTTTTGAGTGGTACACAAATTTGTCAAATGGTTTAATGAGAACCTTCGCTGAGCTGGAGGGTCTATTCTTAGAGAGAATCTTTGGAGCCCAAAAATGTTTAAATGTGGGCAATCTCATTATCAAAAAACAAAAATTGAGAAAGTCTTTGGTTGAATACATCTTCTGGTGGCAAAACTTTTCGATGAAGTGCAAACCCCTGCTATATGAGTAATATGTAGTGGAGATTCTTCTAAAGAATATATATGTGCCTATTATTTTTCTACTAAAAGGGTTAACAATTATAACTTTTAAGAAACTTCTCAACAAAATGAATAACCTGCAAGAAGAGTCTTCTTGGATGCCATTCTTGAAGGATTCATTTGATGAGAAGAAGCCGAACAAACCACTTAAGTCTCTTAAGAAAAGGACAGCTATAGTCTCTGCAATTGACAAAGGAAATAAACCAGCTAGTGTTTAGTCTAGTGGTCCTAATAAGGAGCCTTAGCTAATTTATTTTAAAGAGATATAGCTCATCCTTATCTATTTAAAGGGGAATTAGTAAGGAAAATCTTTGAGAGTCTTTTAAAGAAATACCAGAGGCCAAGAAGTAGGTATAGGAAAAAAAAGGGATGACTCCAATTTTTTCCCTTATCACCACATGTTGAGCCACACAATTGAAGACTGTATGGTCTTTAAGGACTAGCTTGAAAAGATCTTCCATCAGGGTAACATCATAATTCTAAATAAGTAATTGGTAGATCTAGACCAGGGGTCAGTCAAATCAATCTTAGGTACAAGCTCTAACATTTATCTATCATTGAATATGGTTGGGATATTACTTGATCTCAGGCATTTAAAAAGTTAATAAACACATCTTTTCATCTTTCTCAATAGTTTTTTATGAGTGCCTGAGGCTTGATCTAGGAGGTTGACCTAGTGGCTTCATAGGAGGACTTTAAGATAATGTCCTCTCCAGTAGTTATAGGAACTACTATAAATTATAAAAATGTAAAGAGAGATATTTAGATAGAGAGGAAATGTGTTGATGAGTGATGTATCCGAGCGATAGATAGTGGCATAAACCCCCTATCTCCATTAATGTTATATGATTTTTAATTTTCCCCATTAAAGCTAAAGGGTCAAAAATCAATAAAAAATATCCTTTTATAAATATTTTAATTATTAATATCCATAATATAATTCAAAGTGTTATTTTTAATGAAGTTAATCAAAATTCAATTGATGTCATTCAAGATTTTCAAAAGCTTAACTTTGCAGATTTGACCCTTCAAGAGGGAACTAAATATGAGATCTTACTTGTTAGTGATAACCCTAAAATTAACTTTCAAGGGAGTCCTATCATGATAGAAGTTTTTAGATTCAGATTCAACCTCATAAAATAACTTTTAATCCCCTAAGGAGAGCATACTATTGTAATTTAGATTTCAAGATTAAGTTTTATATCATGTGATTTTTTGATGATACCAAAATATTATTATTATGATTACTATTTCTCCTAACATACAGTGGATATATGTTCTTTATGTTGTTTGTGTGTACTAAGATTTTAGAGAAATTATACTCCAAAATGCCAAAGACTTCAAGACAAATTAGATTAGGATTTCTTGTAATGAATTATATAATTTTTTATTTTTCTTGAGTTTGAATGAG